ATACAGAGTCTTGATGAGAGAATTCTTCTGTGATGGATGGTGGTGGGAATCCGGTTTCAGATAAGCATCCGTATGGGTAGCTTTCCTGTAGACAGAGTGGCTCATTGAACCATCAGGTCTCTTTTTAATTAGGACATCCAAAAAAGGTATCTTGCCATCTATTTCGACTTCCATGGTAAATCTGATGGCTGGGTGTATGGAATTGATGTGGTCGAAGAATTGGTCTAGAGCAGGCCGGCCATGTGGCCAGATGACAAAAGTGTCATCCACGTACCTCTTCCATAAGGTTGGGCGCAGAGTGGCAGTCTGGATGGCGTCAGTCTCAAATTTCTCCATGAAAATGTTAGCTATAACTGGAGAAAGGGGGGAGCCCATTGGGGTGCCCTCAGTTTGTTTGTAGAAAGTTCCATTCCAAGTGAAGTATGTATTGGTTAAACAGTGTCTCACCAGGGGGGGTACCTCAGTGTTTAGTCCTTGATGAACCAAGTCTTCAATGATTGCAATGGTGTCAGGTACAGGAACCTTGGTGAATAAGGAAACTACATCAAAACTGACAAGCAGGTCGTCTGGGGACAGGGAAATACCCTTGATTGTTGATACCAGGTGAGTAGAATTTTGTACCGCAGAGGTGGTCTTTCCAGTGAAAGGACGCAGGATTTCAGACAAAAAACGAGCTAGTTTGTAGGTGGGGGAGCTGATAGTAGAGACTATGGGACGAAGAGGTGTATCAGCTTTATGTATTTTTGGTAAGCCGTATAATCTTGGTGGCCTGGCAGCTATCACTCAAACCATGAAGAAGAACCCTCTTGAGGAGCCTTTCAAAACCATCACTTTACCCTACATTGCTGGGATCACAAAAAAGATCTCCAAAATCTTGAATAAACACAAGATCCAGGTCCGTTTCAACACATTACATAAAATCCGTGATCTGGTTCCGTCTGTAAAAGATGTGATTCCGGACATACAATACCCTGGTGTCTACAAACTAAGTTGCCTCTGTGGTAGTAGTTACATTGGAGAAACCAAACGCCATGTCTCGGACCGCATTCGTGAACATAAAGCAGACCTTAAACACGGTAGGACCAACACCTCGGCCGTAGCAGATCATTGTTCTAATTCAGTAGGCTCACATGCCATTGACTTTTCCAAGACGGAGGTTCTTTGTAAGCCATCTGGCTTCCATGAGAGATTCGTTCATGAGGCTATCCACATATACAAGCACAGAGACAATTTCAACCGAGAAGATGGATTCTATCTTAGCAATCATTGGAAAGATTTGATAAATCATTTCAGTTCTTGATTGATTGTTCACGCTTACAGTGGCTTTCAGACAGCATACATTATAAAAATTTCGTCTCCCCCCTCCTCTTTTCAAAAAAAAATAGATGGACTAGTCCTGGGCAAACTGCCAATGGCTGCGCGTGACGCCAACGTTTTTAATAAATAAATGTGCCGTTTTAAAAATAAATTTATGCAAACCGACACACCTGATGATGACCGTTTGAGTTATGGTCGAAACGTCGTGAGAATTTTTATTGTTTTATATATATTTTGTTATTTTGTTGTTTCTCTTCAACGTGACTTTACCGAAAAAACTAAGAATATGAATTACTGCAGTCACGAAAGCTTTAAATCAAAATTTAAGTAAAACCGTGTTTATGATAATATAGATATTATATGAATTGTTTGTTCCGACGCAGTATCTTTATAATTTCAGTATATAAGTTATAATATGCAAAATATATTTATATATATTTAGGTATCCCTCGATTTATGAAAGGGATACGTAAAAAAACCCCACTACATTTCGTAAATTGTAAAGGCTTTTTTATTAATGTAATACAAAAAAATGGATGTGTTTAGGACAGTCATTCCAACTCTACTCCTAACCTATTTATTTCATTTTAATTTATTTTCATTTATTTGGTATAGCCCTGTGAGCCATTCGGCTCTTGAATCGGGTGCAACCGCAACATACAAAAGCCTAAAAATATATACCCATATCACACAATAATAATAATGAACAAAAAGTATTAAAACGATTAAATAACAATGAATTTAAAACAAAAATAATTAACCTTTTCAGGGAGCTCACCAAAAAAGAGATCCGTATTGGAATGCCTGGCAAGGTGATGTGGAGGCATTACTGTTACACTGTAGGGTTATCGTGACACCGTTGCGGATGGATGACTCAGTCTCCAGGTGGTTGTTGTTTGATCTGACGGTGCGTGTCGTATTGAAATTTCGTTCACGCTGAAATTCGATTTCGTTAATCGAATAGTATCCATAATTTGTCGATTGTCGTTAGCGCGAAATTTCGTGAAACCGAACGTTCGTAAATCGAGGGATACCTGTAGTAAGTGCAGCACAACAATCTATCTAGCGCCTGAACTGTTCTGAACGCTCAATATCTGCATTAGTCGACTGATGGAGGCCTTCACGCAGCAGGAGATAGATCATTGTCCGAGGATAGATGAGTATTATGAACTGATAAGTGGCCAAAAATGTTCCTGTTTATAACTCTTCGCGAAAATAAATCTGCTGTCATGCAGCAGTGGAAACAGTGCAGTATAATTTGAAGGGAAAGTCATAAAAAATCACGTTTTTATTTATTTCCATCAACAATATACGTTAAATATTGTTTTGGCTTACTTATATGACTGGTCATAATATGCATGAAATACTGATGACATTCATTCTTTATGTATTGGTTTCACAACTTTCTCACTCTGTTAATTTTTCAGATTTATTGCAGTGAAATTTTTAAAAAGTTTTCCTTCCAAATATATTTTAAATACAATGCATGCATACAATCAGATACGTTATTTGAAGTAGGATATTGCCACCTATGTATAATATGCAGAACAATGTAATTTCGTTGTTGTTTTATTGTTTTATATTTTTAATATTTGATTGTTTCCCTTATACGCGACTTTACCGAAAGAACCAAGAATATGAATCCCTGCAGTCACGAAAGCTTTAAATAAAAAAAATGTAATTTCGGTTGAAGTTATAATGCGGTATTTACAAGCACTGCCCGCATAGTATTAGCGGGATACACGGCTCGGGTGGAGGTTGGGTGGGAGGGGGGGGGGCGTGACGTCAGTACGCAACAACCCTGCTCAACAATGTGGAATGTGGGTGACATCATCACGCAGATGTGCGTAGTGACATCACCCGCGCACCAGCTGACAGGCCAGACAGCAAAACTTTTTTTTCTCTAATATAGCATTCAATTTAACAGAATTAGCTTTAAGAAATTAGGGCAGCACCCCAATGTGGTGGGCTAATACCACCTGTTTTGCACGGATTGCTCTACTGTATTTGATCTGTTTTGTATTTACATCACGTCAACAATAAAACCCGATGTCCTTTGTTAAATAATTACGTCCGTAACATTTCAGCTCGTATAGCTGCGAGTGCTATGAATCATACCTTGTGTGCAACATACATATTGTGCTTCACCCTTGTATTATAGATTACAGGGATACGAGCTTTCATGAATACAAATCAACATAATAGAGAGGCCATAATTTTTGGCATCTATACCGGTTTAATTAGATTCTCCCATATTTCTGCTAAAAATGTAATTTGCCGATGGCAGGGGGTATCTCAGCACATGTCATTTCTGCAGACATTGTGAATATGTCCATGATAATTAAAATGTAGGTGGTGGGTAATTTGTTTGAATGGCAGGGGTAAACATCTGTGAGTGTGCAATGTAAGCTTATTTACAGCCACGGCTGGAAAAAAAAACTACCAGCGGCATTTTTGCGCATTTCCTTTGCCTTTCAAGTGTGTACTGATCAAAGGGCCACATTCACATTTCCTGATAAAAGCCGCCGGGCAAATTCATATTCGTAAGTCAAGGTAATTTTGCATGCCTTAAATGTTTGGTTTTACATGCGCCTAACAGTGAAGATTAATCAAAAACGGACACGACAATGTTTCAAAGACGTGGTTTGAGATGAACATTAAAATAGTGAAATGCACCTGATGTCTTTCTTACAGAATCAGTCGTTTTTTTTGCCACCACGTCGAGTCGTATGCATAATTAGAGATAATAACGTCGTGGTTTTGATTGTCATACCAGATAAAGTTTGCTGCTTAAGTGATAAGAGTGAAAAAAGTTGAGCATTTTCTGAAGATCTTGCATTTCCATTTGTTTAAGGCAATGCCTTAACAATTAGAATTGTATCGATTTGCTGAAGCACAATGCAATTTCATTACACCTATACACTGTCTGTCAATATCCAGTTTGTATGAGCTCATTCCATTTCATTTATTTTTAATCATAAGTTATATTTGTTTCAACGGCTAAATTGATTCATGTTTTTTTTTCCTGTAAATAAGTATTGTGTTTTCAACTTCTATAGATTTTTATCCATGAAGCAATTAATACTGCATTTTATTCTGAAAGTGAGCATTTTTTAAATTAATTAAACATTGTAAATGTTATTATAAATGTTGTTGGACCATTTAATTGTGCGAGTGTATTTTCACATTCACTCGACGAAGCAATGTATTTTTTAAACAGTAGCGTACAAAACCGTTTAACTCTAATAATGCAATGGTAACAAACATTTTATTTTATGAAACAAAAATATTCAAAACTACACAATTTCCACATACTCGTGAAACGTTACATGACATTAAAGTAATTTGACCAATATCTACTGCAGAGGAAGGTATTAATGAAATCAAATTTTCCCAAGCTCTGAACTCCACTTTAAAAACATTTGCAAAAAAAGTGTCACGTCTATATTTACTTTATTATCATTATTACTCTGTGAGAAGCTTTGAACGAGTGATGTAGATTTGCACACGAATTGAATAGTAGCAAGGGGAAGACGTTCATTTCCATATTTGCTTGCAAGCCGAACATCAACACACTGAACGCTTTACAGCCTGCATTGACGCACTCGTGGGACAGAACAAGCTGTCAAATGCTTTCACGGTCCGAAGCCATCAGGTGAGTAGAAAACAGACAGGTGGCTCACCTTAGGGCAAAGTGTTCCACGCTGGAATTTTTCAGGAGCCCCACAGGAATGCGTATAATCTCCCCATGTCTGATAGATCTGGCTGGCAGGTAGATCACCACATTGTCATCCAACCTGACCTCATGGCAAGGTGGTGACTTTGGAGTTTGCAGCAGCTGTACACTTCCAACCCATTGTAGATCTGTCCGGGTTTCTTCCTTGCCGAGAACGTGGACATATGTGAGCCCTTGGCTACCCGCGGGTGCACAATTTCCAGACTCATCGGGGCTCCTCAGGGCGTAGTACAAATCCACTGGCAGCGACTCGGGAGAATCTCCATTGGATGTCAGATCACCTGGCAAAAACCAGCCGGATGGTAAATTGATCTCTCCTAAACACATTCCCAACTTTCCTTTCAACTGGCAGGATGTCCTCAGCTCCTGGGCTCCAAAGAAAACGTGCAGGTCAACACACGGCATTTTTTCAGAAGCGCTGTTTTTATCCCAGTCTCGCCCCAGAAGACAAAATAAAACCTGAATTATTGGCCTGTTTGAGAAAATAATGTTCTCCGTAAGAAAGGACTTGAGCTTCCAGTTGGTATTCAGATCAGATAAACTCTGCTGCTGTGATGGGTTTCTGAGTCCATGAATAGACATAGGTACTGGCTTCCACGTAGAGAAAGGTCCATAGGTGACGTTGAAGATAGGTTGCATGCTGGTACTGAAGACAAAGAAGGGCTGGGCATGCACTTGCAATGTCGTGGGGTCGATCTCAATGTCTTCGTTCATTTGCTTAAGAAAGAAGGAGGTCTCCGCATTTAAGAGTTCATAGTTAAACACGGAATTGGTGGACATTCGACTGGAATCCGAAGAGACTTTGGCAGCTTCTAATAAGCCTGTGAATAAGATTAAAAGTGCACAAAGAACAAAAGCATGTCAGTAAAAAAAATAGAAATACTTTTTCAGGTAACGTGTAACAATGCATAGCACGTATCATCATTATTTAATATGTACACATGTGCAGTTTTACATATACAGACATCAATTAATAACATTTGTTACTATTCCAAGTAAAATCAGTTTTGCTGCTGTTCAAAAATATAAATCAGTGGCTTATCTCTGCAACTCACCATTAGAAAACATTTACTCGTACTAAACTAACTTATTTTTTTATATTACCAGGTAAGGCCCAATGAGCCATATAGCTCTTTTTCAGAAGTGACCTGGTCACAAATGATAGCTCATTGAAGTGGCTTATCACGTGGAAATTTATAGCACCCAAATACTGTAAATATACATTGTTTCTAAATGTGGAGGGAAAAACCGAAGGACCCGGAGAAAAATCCACGCGACCACGGAGAGAACATGCAAACTTCAAATATACAGGCACGAGGGTCGGGATCAAACCTACAATCTCCTGCATACCAAGTGAGGTAGTTAACATCTCATAACAGTTCTGAAGAAGTAAGCGTCTATTTAGAAAACTGTTTTCTGCTTCCAACCGCACAAAATAAGCGCGCGTGTATTTTTGCGCCAACCCCACAAATACTCCCGAGGCAATCATCCAAGCAATAGCCAGTAAACATGTTGATGCCATTCACACGTACCTGCCTCATTTGCGAGCATCACGACATTGGAATTTGAAGTCGCATTCAATCGCCGTACTTATTATGATACAGCCGTAGATGGTCGACCTTCCGGTTGGGGCAGTGGTAATGGTCTCGCCAAATCTTTCTCTGTGAACCCTCCAACAACATTTTCGATGAGACCGTGTGCAGGGCCTCATCCACATATCAATAATGGCGTGTGCTGTCAAATTGGCTGCTTGTGTAGTGACGATCTTGCCTGTAAGGCTTGCTCATGATGAAGCAAACGTCACGTTTTTTGCTTCGTATTTTTTTCTTTGAAAAAAAAACATGTTATTACTTTCCACTACGATATTTCCGCATGGTACAGTTTGTTGGCAATGTGAAGGTGGTCTGTAACCACTTTCTTGTTGGACCTGGAGGGAGAATATATATTTGATGCCACTGCTGTGTGGGGATTAAGATGTGTGGTTCAATAGATAATGATGCCAGCATGGATGCACATGAAACGCGCTTGGGATTTAATTACATGTCGGTGACACCAGACTTCCCACTCACTTGTATGGGGGGGGAGGGGGGGTAAAACCAACAGGAAGCTGCCACAGAAGCACTTCAAAAGTTTAGAAACTATTTTTTTTAAACCATGTGGAAAGTGTGTTTTCCGCACGAGCTGATGTTTACTTCGGACGTTAGCCATGTCAGGGTGGGGTTTAGCCAAACATTGGAGAAACCAAACGACATGTCTCAGACCGCATTTGTGAACACAAAGCAGACCTTAAACATGGTAGGACCAACACCTCGGCCATGGCAGATCACTGTTATAATTCAGTAGACTCACATAACATTGACTTCTCCAAGACAGAGGTTCTTTGCAAGCCATCTGGATACCATGAGAGATTCGTTCATGAGGCCATCCACATATACAAACACAGAGACAATTTCAACCGAGAAGATGGATTCTGGCTTAGCAATCATTGGAAGGATTTGATAAACCATTTCGGGTCTTAATTGATTGTTCACGCTTACGGTGGCTTTCAGACAGCATAGATGGACTCGTCCATCTAAACAAACTGTCAGATCGCTATCCGTGGTGCTAACGTTTAAAGTAAGTAAATAAATAAATAAACTGCGGACCGCCACTTCTTTCAAATGTTCTTGCCGTTGGTTTTCACACCTGATGATGACTGCTTGTGTTGCAGTCGGAACGTCGTGAGAATTGTATTGTTTTATATTTTTATTATGTTATTGTTTCCCTTCGACGTGACTTTACCGAAAGAACCAAGAATATATATAGTCTCAATATGTGACAAACCACTGACGTTAGCTATTACCTTGAACCAAACTCATGTCATCGGATTCAAAGCGTAGTGGGATAACACCGCACCACCACTCCACCGCTAGGTGTTTCAATCATAAATAAATCCTATATGTCAGGAGAAATATTTCATTCAAACCTCTTTGTAAATGCACACGCTTATTAATAGCAGGCGCTGTTTTAAAATCTCTCACTGCACTTGGACAATCGTCAATATTTTACAAGCGTTGGGGAATGCTGAATAGAGAGGGTCAAATACAGTACTCGATATACAAGATGCAAGTCTTGTCATCTCTTAATATGCCAAACGAAGCCAATTTGTTTCACACTGATTATTGCTAATATGGTCTTAACATACCATATTAGCAACCACGATGTGGTTATAATTTGCAATATACGAGCATGACAGATATCTAACATTCGTGAATTTTGTTTCCCTATATCGTCAATTGTAAATTAGCAACTGCAATTATATATATTTTTTTCAAAAGTATGGATGTCTCTGTCATTTGAGAATGCTCCTTATTAAGAAATCTTAAAATATCTCAATGCAGGAACCTCCTGAATTTTCTTTTTTATGTATCTTTTGAGACTTGTTCAGGCTTCACTTGAAAATTAAATGACATTGTTATCATAGCTATATTACTGTAGTGAGAATTGTTTGCCAAAATATCCCAAAACATTAATACATTATGCGAGCATTTACATTATGAGACCTCCTTAATGAGACCTCCATAGTGTAAATGCTCACCCCGAGCCCTCAATACTCTGATAGTGTGCTGTTTTTGAGTTGTACGCCTTTTGGCGTCTTCTGGTCCAACACCAATGGAGACTAGGCTCTAAGAAAAGCCGTCTCGGGTGTGGACCAATCAAATTCAAGAACAGTGCATATTATTATCAGAGTTGTCTTTTTTGTTTGCATTTTGACTGCTTGTGTTGTGGTCATTGCAAACATGATGTCTTGAATAAAGGTGTCAGTTTTTTTGCCAGTTAAAAGAGTAAAACCTATTTATATATTATGCGAGCATTTATGGAATATTAATAACCACAGTATATTAGGCTTCTCCAGTGTGAGCTCTCATGCCCTTTCCAAACATCTGGCTAGTTTATAGCCAGATGTTTGGAAAAACAAAACATCCGAGTCAGATTTGCCATGGTACATAAAATACATAAATTAATATCGGGTACAAAAGATGTATTACTAAAGCTATCAACAGAAGGTGTGTACAAGATTAACCGCACGTGTGGTGAATGTTATGTTGGGCAAACAGGACGAATGATCAGCACGAGACTAAAAGAACATCAGAGAAATATTAAATTCTCCCAAATACAACTGTCAGCAGTAGCAGAACACCCGTGTGAACAAGGACACTCAATTGATGTTGATAATGTTGAAGTTCTGTACAAAACTAACTACTACTGGCCAAGACTAATTAGATAATCTTTTGAAAGTGAAGTAAATCAAAATCACTTTAATCGTTCAGATAGCTACCGCCTTAGTGCTGCGTGGAAGCGAATAATCAAATAATACATGATTTAAATGCATTCCTACAAAGGGCAGTGTACTTTAATAGGGATTACCATTGGTAGGGCTATTTTAATACACACAATAGGCAGGAAGGACAAATTCAAAAGGCTAGCATAATGCATAATGTACGTTGCCTCAGTAATCCCCCCCCCCCTCACATTGTTCAAGATCGCAGAAGCGTGGCCACCACATCTACGCCTCTATATAAGGAACGAAACGGTAAGACTTCCTCACTAATCTGGCTGTCGTCTGATGAAGCTAGTTGTAATTACTGGCGAAATGTCGTACTCAGATTGGAAATGTTGTGGCTTGGCTCTCCAACACACCGACGAATTGGCCACGTTCTGTTTACGTGACAACCCTTACTAGTTGGCTGTGTCGGGTGGTGGCGGGTTTTAACGGCACAACATTGATATATTTACGCGATCTAATCCAAAACACCTCTATTTTTAATGTTTTTATCAATAATATTTCGCATTGATAAGCATCAATTCGTCTCATTGACGGATATAAGCGATATCAATTTTGAAATTACTTTAACACGGCATGGTTTCAGTTTACAGTATGTATTTTTTTTGTTTAAAGCAACGGTTAAACCATAAAACCTGCACTGAGGATGTAGGCCATTCATCCTCCCCTCAATCGCTTTGTTTTCCGAGTTATTTTAAACGAAGTCGTGCAACTGAATTTTATCCAAAGATATAATTCTAAACCACAGCAGTTTTCCACGTATGCCATGTTATTTGGTAATATCTTTGGGTCCCAGCTTTAATTTCTACAATACATTCTAGACATTACTTACATAAAATAAATATTTGTGTACGCAGAAAGATATAGTTTTCCAATAGTGTAAAACAATTTAACCTTTGTAAATGTAATGGCTTCCATTCAAAACATGTGAAGTGTTGCCTAATGTATGGTATAATTATTAATCGGCCATATCTTTAAAATGTGTTTATGTGAGGCCATGGTAATCATTGACATTCAAAAAGTGCATTATGCTTAAATGTGCAAATATAATCTTAACTTCCAGAATGAGATTGTCTATACAGTACAGTATTGCAGTTCGTATGTTTCTAAAAGGAAGAAAATGTAATGCGTTCATCTCTAAGCCATCCAGATGAATATTTTTCAGAAATTACTGCTTAAGCAAGGCAACATTGCATGGCTTTTATTACTGTGGTATCTCAAGAGTGAATGAAAAACCACTAAGCATGGGGCTGAAATACAGAGCTGTGCCGATTCGTAAAGAATTCCCACAATATATTGTGGCTATTGCAGTGAATTATTTGGTAAATAACCAACAGGAGACACAACACTTTTCTATTGCCTTGAAATGTATCTAAATTTGTGGATATTACAATTTTATCCTACGTATGATATGAAATAAATGAGAAAAAAAAACAGTTTTGGAAAGGTAAAAGGACTCGTGCGGGAAAATAAAGGTTAGAAGAGACGATGATCGCT